TATGGTAAATCGGTCACGTACTACACTCGTCTCGTTAGTGCAATGCGTTGACTCTTTTTTTCCTCGTCATTATCTCCAGGATACCTTTAAGAGGCAGAGGGAAGCATTTTCACTTTTTTCATTGAAGGGAGAAGGTCCAAATTTACCCCTCAACTTTTGAATATTGTTCACATTTAGCCTTCTCTATATTATTCGGCCAAATTTATCACTTGCTATTCGGCCAAATTCATCCCTGTCGTCAGTAAACTATCAAAAAATACCCCTCAGTCGATTAGGTAACCCAAAATCTCCCAAATACCTTTTATTTAAATCACTTGTTCTTCTTATTCATTCACTATTTTCAGAAATTACTATTAATGTGAATGCTAAAGGTACTAAACTATACAAATGCATGGATATTTTAAATTACCATTGCACTCACTTCTCTTCTTGTGATAATGGTTTTAGAATTGATTTAAAAATTTATAATTTTTCAATCATATACACTGCAAAATTTTGTGGGTATATTTATTGTGTATTATATGTGGTTCTTCATCATGTATGTACATGTAAATTCGAATATATTTTGTAATTGTCTAGTTAGTATTCGGTCGACTAACTCAAGAATGCACGGGTCAAATGGTTTTGTGGCCCATTACAAACTTGTTTTTAGTTTTATGACCTATCTCTTTTTACACACGGGAGATTTTCTTTTACATATAAGAGATCTAAAAAAGACACTTTCTTAATTTCAACATTGTAAAAAGCCATGGAGGCCTAAAACCTCAGAATGCACAATGCGTAGGCATTTGATTAAAGCAAAGTTGAATTTGACAATGCAAAGTCTCCAAGGAACTTCAATTTCTATCATTAATACTTGCAAAGTCTCCATACCTTTTGTGGAACGAATTCATTAAAGCTGGGTTATTGTATATACTTTTGAAATTTAAAAAAACTACCTAATTTAGATTCTTAAATTTACTATACTTTGTTTACTGACTGTTGTATTATTTTAATATTTCTTTCTCTTATTTCTTTTTTCTAATTAAAAAAGTTGGTAAATGCCAATTATATTTAAAATAGTGGATCAAGAAGAAGAATAAGTGACTTAACTAAAATGATTTGGGAGATTCTGGGTCACCTGACGGACTGAGGAGTAATTTTTAAAAGTTTACTGGTGGTATGGGTAAATTTGGCCGGATAGTATTAACACTAGGAAATTTTTTTGGCAAAACAGTATAATGAAGGTTAAATGTAGACAATATTCAAAAGTAGAGAGCTAAATTTGGACCTTTTTACTTCATTGAATAATGGGAGAATTGGGACACTCTCGTGAATATGGAGTCATAGACCAATATTTAATTGCAACGCTCTCGTGAATACAATGGTACAAGCTTGCAAATAATTATGGGCTTTTTTCACTTTTAGCCCCCGCCATTACATTCAATAGCCGAAAAATGTATAAATCTTTTATAATTTTTGTATATAATATACATAATGTATGTATATACAAAAAAAAATAATATTTTTTCGGCTATTATTTTGAGAGCGGCTGTACAGTGTCGTTTTTCCAATAATTATACCATGTCGGGTTGAGATCCAGTCTAAGTAATTTCCAGTTCAGTACTGTTAAATGGATAATGCTGTTAAAGAGGTACAACCATTGGAGAAGCAGAGATGGAACAGAGGAGGAAGAAGAAAAAAAAAGAGCTGCCTTTAGGAAAATATCGAATCTCATATTAAGCATGTATTGTACATGTATATATATATACATACATCCGTAACTACTAACTCCTTAAGAATAAAATAATAGCTGTTGAAAGCTTTTCACTAACCCACTAACTAACTTCTAACCGTCTAGCTAACTTCTACATGCTACCTACTTCTTAAAACTCTCCCTCAAGCTGAGGGATGGAAGAGGTTCTTCATTCCCAGCTTGACAATCAAGTACTCATGTTGTGATTTGCATAGACTCTTGGTAAGTATATCAGCAAGCTGTTCTTTGGTTCTAATATGTTGAGTCTGAATTTGACCACCCTAAATCTTTTCCCTTACAAAATGACAATCAATGTCACAGTGTTTTGTCCTCTCATGAAATATGGGGTGCGCTGCAATCTGTATAGCAGCTTTGCTATCACAGAACAACTGCGTAGGAGTGTGTACTGTAACTCCTAGCTTTCCAAACAAGCCAACTAGCCAAGTGACTTCAGCAACAATAGCTGCCATGCTTCTGAATTTTGATTAAGTAGAACTCCTAGAAACTGTGCTTTGCTTCTTGGATTTCCAAGAGATTAAAGCTCCACCAAACTTAACAATATAACCAGTGATAGACTTCCTTGTCTCTACACATGAACCCCAATCTGAATCACCGTAAGAAACTAGTTGTTTGTCTCCTTTTGCTGGCATAAACAATCCTAGTCCTCCAGTTCCGATGACATACTTGACCACTCGTGTAGCTGCTTCCATATGTGATTGCTTGGGAGCATGCATGTGCTAGCTAAGTACTTGAACAACAAAGGCAATATCTGGCCTTGTCATTGTCAAGTAAAGCAATCTGCCTACTAATCTCTGATAGCTACCTCAATCCTCAAGCTGTGCATCTGTAGAGGCTTCTCCCTTGTTCATGAATTTTTCAAATGCTACTGAGGTGAGTTTGTGATTGAACTCAAGAGGTGTAGCAACATGTTTTCCACCAGCTAATCCCAGCTCAGACACTAACTCAGGAGCATATTTCCTTTGATTCATAAGGATTCCTTCTTTGGATCTGGAGAACTCAATTCCCAGAAAGAATTTTAATTCTCCCAAGTCCTTCATTTTGAACATAGCTTGCAAATGTGTCCTTACCTGATGAATAAGCTTCAAGTTATTCCCAGTAACCTTAAGGTCATCAACATATACCAGAATTACTATTAGATCACCATCTACCCTTTGTGTGAAAAGAGAGTAATCATAATGAGACTATACAAATCCCATATCCTTCATAGAAGAAGTCAACTTCAGGTTCCACTGTCTAGGAGCCTGCTTGAGTCCATACAAGGACTTATGCAGTCTACATACCTTCTGATGACACTCCTCTGGATGGTAAAGCCATCTGGGATCTTTATATAGACCTCTTGAAGAAGATCTCCTTGAAGAAATGCATCATGCACATCCATTTGGAAGATAAACCAGCCAGATGCTGCAGCCAAAGCCACTACAAACCTCACTGTGACCATTTTGGCTGCAGGAGAGAAAGTCTCTTTCTAATCCAGACCTTCAAGCTAACTATACCCCTTAGCAACTAGTCGAGGCTTATACCTCTCTACCTCGCCAGTAGACTTATATTTAACCTTGAATATCCACTTGCAACCAATAGGAGCCTTGCCAGGAGGCAGGTCCACAATGGACAAGGTCTGATTTTCCTCAAGAGCAGCAATCTCAGCTTGCATGGCTTCTATCAACTTACGATCAGTACTGGCCTCGGCATAGGAGGTAGGCTCAGACACAGCTGAGTAGGAAGCAAGACAAGCCTGATATGCAGGAGACAACTTATCATATAAAACATACTAGGAAATGGAGGAATGCAATTGAGAGAAGCAATCAGCTTCTCAAAGATCCAAAATAGGAAATAAAGGAGAGGAACTGGATGTAACATGCTTGAAGGGAAAAACATCATCTTTGAAGACAATGTCCCTGCTTACAAAGAACAGTTAAGAGTGAAGATCATAAAAAATGTATCCCTTTTGCACAGAAGAGTAGCCCAGATGTACAGTAGGAATAGCCCTAAGGGCTGAACTTATATGCTTTTCTAGCTGAGGTGGCATAGCACAATCTACTAAAGACCCTTAAGTGCTGAAGAGAGGGAACCTTGTTATAGAGTTTCTCAAAAGGAGAAGCTTCCTTTAACAAGACTGTAGGCAATCTATTCAGAAGATAGACTGCTGTAGAAGCACACTCACCCTAGAACTGTAGTGGAACAAATGCTTGAAACCTCAAGGCTCTTGCCATATTAAGGATAGACCTATGTTTTTTCTTCACTCTACCATTCTGCTGAGGTGTATATATGATGATAGGCTATAATTACGTATTTTAGTTGCTTATTACACTCTAATTTACTGCACTTTAATTGAGTTTGCGCTTTAATCGCTAGTGTTTTGCACTAACGGTGTGTTTTATGCCTTGTAGGAGTGATTCCGAAATATATAGATGTTATAGAATGAATTCAAGTGATTTGGAGCTTTGAAATCTGAGGAAAAGCCCAAGGAATTAATCCGGGATCGTATTCGGGGATCAACGGATGATAAAACAACAAAACGAAGACTCGAGTAGGCATATTGCGTACTGTCTAGTAAAATGCACATAACGTTTTGCTCAGAACTCCATTTGGGCTCTACAATATATGGTTGGAAAGCTAACTCAAAGGTTGTATACGGAACAGGGTCAAAAACGCGATTGAAACTGCGACTGCGGACCTGACGCGGCAGAACACTGCTGCAGATTCTGAAGGCCACTCTAGCCGCGGTCCTGGCGTAACCGCGGCAGGACGTATAAATGTTAGGGACTAAAGTGCAATACACGGGATTTTAAGCCCTAAACCCTATATTAAACGAAGGAAGCCAGCCAAGAAAGGGGAGAATGATTTTTGGAAGTGAAAAACATNTTTTTCACACTTTGTTTTGATTTGAACTCTTTAATGAAGGTTTTATACTAAATAGCTTTGGAACTATCTTTGAAATGAAAATATCAATTTGTTTTGGTAATGTGTCGGCTTGCCTAGTATCACGATAGGCACCATCACGACATGGTTAGTTTTGGGTCATGACAGTACTAAATGAAAATTAGTAGGCATTTGAATGATTAAATGAGCATTATACAAACGAGTATAGTTGTTTCAAACCTTTCCTATTGCTTCTTAAAAGGCACTTCATTGTTCTGATTTTCACAAAGTGATCTCACACTGAAACGTGCTGTCCCTATCTAAGGCTCCATAATATAAATATGAATTACTCTGTAACTTCTTAATTCATCTTGGTCTTGAACCCATGAGCTTGGTTCTCAAAGTGTTAGCCAAACCAATTGGATCAACTGTTTGTGGCATTAAAACCACTAGCTCCCGTTTCATCATCCTTTAAGTTTTTGATGGCCACCCGATCCATTTGCAAATCATAGAGAGAAATATAGAATGCTTAAATGATAATGTAGAACAGCAAACGCAAATGTGTCTTAGAACCACATGATTCAGTAAGAACTTTACTATCATGTGGGAAAAATCCTTGAGCTCTTTCTGATAAAAAAAGAATCTTCAACTCTCCTGATTAGAGGCCCTACATGCCAAAGAGAAACCTCCACTTTAGAGTGGGTATCCGGCATAAATTCAAGTCCTAAACTCAAACCCACTCAGTTTTCATGCATTTCAATGTGGACAGTTCTATTCATGTCTAAACGAACCTTTTGCAGTTGTTTTTTGTGTTTTTTAGTTTGTTATTTTATATTCTTTGTTTTCTGCTGTTACTTGTTGTCTCTAATCTGACTATAATGGGAGTAGTTACCTATCTTGTTTGATAACATGTTCTGTGACCCGTAAGGACAACCTAGGTATCCAGNTCTTTTTTATATAGCCAAACCAAAAATAGCTTGGACTGTTAAATAACTGAACCAAACTAGGACTAAGGCTTATGTGTTGATTGATTGGTATTTAATTGCCTGTGGTTTGAGTGATTTACAGACTCACAATGATTAACAGGTGGACACCTGATTAACGGATTTATTTTTCTTTTAATTTTCTTCCAGTCGGAGGTTTTTGCTGTTGCATTTGCTCTGCTTGCGGCCGGTGCTGTCATTCTGACATTGAATGTCTTGTTACTGGTAATGACCCTTTCTCAACCCATCCCTATAAAAAGAATAAAGGCAAAAAGAGAATAACAAGAGAAAAAACACCCTAAATCTGGGCATGCTCAAAGAGTTTTTGCCAGTTATGAGATATATAATAAAGATGCTTAGAGAAGAGATGTTGAACGGATAGGGGAAAGGGCAGCTCATCGGTGGATATATACCCAAGGAACGCAGTCTATAGGCACTATCAATGATAGAAAACCATTATAGAGGCATTTCTGAGCAGCAACTTGCAATTTCTTTTTTGCAGTTCTAAAGGAGATGGGGAGTCACAGAATAATATAAATGATTTATCTATTACTTCAGATGGATTAATGATGTTGACTTGCAGGGTGGTCACATAATCTTCTTCCAAAGTCTCAGTCTGCTGGGTTACTGTCTATTCCCACTTGATGTTGGTGCCCTTATTTGCATGCTCAAGGACAATGTGATATTGAAGGTGGTTGTGGTATGTGTTGCACTTTCTTGGAGCTCTTGGGCTGCATACCCTTTCATGAGTACGGCTGTTAACCCTAGCAGAAAAGCTCTTGCCCTGTATCCTGTAGTACTCATGTATGTATCTGTTGGATTTCTCATTATTGCCATTGATTGATGTCAGTGATGCCTGTCATATCAAAGATGTTTGAAGCCCGTTAAATGCATCACATTGAAGTATGCATATAATGTGGATGACTTTTTACCATATATAATTTTGTTGAGCGTTTCGATTCTACCACTGATATGTCACATTTTGTACCGTGTTTTAAAGATGTATATATCTTGTTATTTCTGGTGTTTATCTTATAAGCATGAAGCACCGTCTTCACTGTAAAAGATATCTTCTGATGATGGTCGTTTATTCATGGGTGTACTATGGTAAATCGGTCACGTACTACACTCGTCTCGTTAGTGCAATGCGTTGACTCTTTTTTTCCTCGTCATTATCTCCAGGATACCTTTAAGAGGCAGAGGGAAGCATTTTCACTTTTTTCATTGAAGGGAGAAGGTCCAAATTTACCCCTCAACTTTTGAATATTGTTCACATTTAGCCTTCTCTATATTATTCGGCCAAATTTATCACTTGCTATTCGGCCAAATTCATCCCTGTCGTCAGTAAACTATCAAAAAATACCCCTCAGTCGATTAGGTAACCCAAAATCTCCCAAATACCTTTTATTTAAATCACTTGTTCTTCTTATTCATTCACTATTTTCAGAAATTACTATTAATGTGAATGCTAAAGGTACTAAACTATACAAATGCATGGATATTTTAAATTACCATTGCACTCACTTCTCTTCTTGTGATAATGGTTTTAGAATTGATTTAAAAATTTATAATTTTTCAATCATATACACTGCAAAATTTTGTGGGTATATTTATTGTGTATTATATGTGGTTCTTCATCATGTATGTACATGTAAATTCGAATATATTTTGTAATTGTCTAGTTAGTATTCGGTCGACTAACTCAAGAATGCACGGGTCAAATGGTTTTGTGGCCCATTACAAACTTGTTTTTAGTTTTATGACCTATCTCTTTTTACACACGGGAGATTTTCTTTTACATATAAGAGATCTAAAAAAGACACTTTCTTAATTTCAACATTGTAAAAAGCCATGGAGGCCTAAAACCTCAGAATGCACAATGCGTAGGCATTTGATTAAAGCAAAGTTGAATTTGACAATGCAAAGTCTCCAAGGAACTTCAATTTCTATCATTAATACTTGCAAAGTCTCCATACCTTTTGTGGAACGAATTCATTAAAGCTGGGTTATTGTATATACTTTTGAAATTTAAAAAAACTACCTAATTTAGATTCTTAAATTTACTATACTTTGTTTACTGACTGTTGTATTATTTTAATATTTCTTTCTCTTATTTCTTTTTTCTAATTAAAAAAGTTGGTAAATGCCAATTATATTTAAAATAGTGGATCAAGAAGAAGAATAAGTGACTTAACTAAAATGATTTGGGAGATTCTGGGTCACCTGACGGACTGAGGAGTAATTTTTAAAAGTTTACTGGTGGTATGGGTAAATTTGGCCGGATAGTATTAACACTAGGAAATTTTTTTGGCAAAACAGTATAATGAAGGTTAAATGTAGACAATATTCAAAAGTAGAGAGCTAAATTTGGACCTTTTTACTTCATTGAATAATGGGAGAATTGGGACACTCTCGTGAATATGGAGTCATAGACCAATATTTAATTGCAACGCTCTCGTGAATACAATGGTACAAGCTTGCAAATAATTATGGGCTTTTTTCACTTTTAGCCCCCGCCATTACATTCAATAGCCGAAAAATGTATAAATCTTTTATAATTTTTGTATATAATATACATAATGTATGTATATACAAAAAAAAATAATATTTTTTCGGCTATTATTTTGAGAGCGGCTGTACAGTGTCGTTTTTCCAATAATTATACCATGTCGGGTTGAGATCCAGTCTAAGTAATTTCCAGTTCAGTACTGTTAAATGGATAATGCTGTTAAAGAGGTACAACCATTGGAGAAGCAGAGATGGAACAGAGGAGGAAGAAGAAAAAAAAAGAGCTGCCTTTAGGAAAATATCGAATCTCATATTAAGCATGTATTGTACATGTATATATATATACATACATCCGTAACTACTAACTCCTTAAGAATAAAATAATAGCTGTTGAAAGCTTTTCACTAACCCACTAACTAACTTCTAACCGTCTAGCTAACTTCTACATGCTACCTACTTCTTAAAACTCTCCCTCAAGCTGAGGGATGGAAGAGGTTCTTCATTCCCAGCTTGACAATCAAGTACTCATGTTGTGATTTGCATAGACTCTTGGTAAGTATATCAGCAAGCTGTTCTTTGGTTCTAATATGTTGAGTCTGAATTTGACCACCCTAAATCTTTTCCCTTACAAAATGACAATCAATGTCACAGTGTTTTGTCCTCTCATGAAATATGGGGTGCGCTGCAATCTGTATAGCAGCTTTGCTATCACAGAACAACTGCGTAGGAGTGTGTACTGTAACTCCTAGCTTTCCAAACAAGCCAACTAGCCAAGTGACTTCAGCAACAATAGCTGCCATGCTTCTGAATTTTGATTAAGTAGAACTCCTAGAAACTGTGCTTTGCTTCTTGGATTTCCAAGAGATTAAAGCTCCACCAAACTTAACAATATAACCAGTGATAGACTTCCTTGTCTCTACACATGAACCCCAATCTGAATCACCGTAAGAAACTAGTTGTTTGTCTCCTTTTGCTGGCATAAACAATCCTAGTCCTCCAGTTCCGATGACATACTTGACCACTCGTGTAGCTGCTTCCATATGTGATTGCTTGGGAGCATGCATGTGCTAGCTAAGTACTTGAACAACAAAGGCAATATCTGGCCTTGTCATTGTCAAGTAAAGCAATCTGCCTACTAATCTCTGATAGCTACCTCAATCCTCAAGCTGTGCATCTGTAGAGGCTTCTCCCTTGTTCATGAATTTTTCAAATGCTACTGAGGTGAGTTTGTGATTGAACTCAAGAGGTGTAGCAACATGTTTTCCACCAGCTAATCCCAGCTCAGACACTAACTCAGGAGCATATTTCCTTTGATTCATAAGGATTCCTTCTTTGGATCTGGAGAACTCAATTCCCAGAAAGAATTTTAATTCTCCCAAGTCCTTCATTTTGAACATAGCTTGCAAATGTGTCCTTACCTGATGAATAAGCTTCAAGTTATTCCCAGTAACCTTAAGGTCATCAACATATACCAGAATTACTATTAGATCACCATCTACCCTTTGTGTGAAAAGAGAGTAATCATAATGAGACTATACAAATCCCATATCCTTCATAGAAGAAGTCAACTTCAGGTTCCACTGTCTAGGAGCCTGCTTGAGTCCATACAAGGACTTATGCAGTCTACATACCTTCTGATGACACTCCTCTGGATGGTAAAGCCATCTGGGATCTTTATATAGACCTCTTGAAGAAGATCTCCTTGAAGAAATGCATCATGCACATCCATTTGGAAGATAAACCAGCCAGATGCTGCAGCCAAAGCCACTACAAACCTCACTGTGACCATTTTGGCTGCAGGAGAGAAAGTCTCTTTCTAATCCAGACCTTCAAGCTAACTATACCCCTTAGCAACTAGTCGAGGCTTATACCTCTCTACCTCGCCAGTAGACTTATATTTAACCTTGAATATCCACTTGCAACCAATAGGAGCCTTGCCAGGAGGCAGGTCCACAATGGACAAGGTCTGATTTTCCTCAAGAGCAGCAATCTCAGCTTGCATGGCTTCTATCAACTTACGATCAGTACTGGCCTCGGCATAGGAGGTAGGCTCAGACACAGCTGAGTAGGAAGCAAGACAAGCCTGATATGCAGGAGACAACTTATCATATAAAACATACTAGGAAATGGAGGAATGCAATTGAGAGAAGCAATCAGCTTCTCAAAGATCCAAAATAGGAAATAAAGGAGAGGAACTGGATGTAACATGCTTGAAGGGAAAAACATCATCTTTGAAGACAATGTCCCTGCTTACAAAGAACAGTTAAGAGTGAAGATCATAAAAAATGTATCCCTTTTGCACAGAAGAGTAGCCCAGATGTACAGTAGGAATAGCCCTAAGGGCTGAACTTATATGCTTTTCTAGCTGAGGTGGCATAGCTACAATCTACTAAAGACCCTTAAGTGCTGAAGAGAGGGAACCTTGTTATAGAGTTTCTCAAAAGGAGAAGCTTCCTTTAACAAGACTGTAGGCAATCTATTCAGAAGATAGACTTGCTGTAGAAGCACACTCACCCTAAGAACTGTAAGTGGAACAAATGCTTGAAAACCTCAAGGCTCTTGCCATATTAAGGATAGACCTATGTTTTTTCTTCACTCTACCATTCTGCTGAGGTGTATATATGATGATAGGCTATAATTACGTATTTTAGTTGCTTATTACACTCTAATTTACTGCACTTTAATTGAGTTTGCGCTTTAATCGCTAGTGTTTTGCACTAACGGTGTGTTTTATGCCTTGTAGGAGTGATTCCGAAATATATAGATGTTATAGAATGAATTCAAGTGATTTGGAGCTTTGAAATCTGAGGAAAAGCCCAAGGAATTAATCCGGGATCGTATTCGGGGATCAACGGATGATAAAACAACAAAACGAAGACTCGAGTAGGCATATTGCGTACTGTCTAGTAAAATGCACATAACGTTTTGCTCAGAACTCCATTTGGGCTCTACAATATATGGTTGGAAAGCTAACTCAAAGGTTGTATACGGAACAGGGTCAAAAACGCGATTGAAACTGCGACTGCGGACCTGACGCGGCAGAACACTGCTGCAGATTCTGAAGGCCACTCTAGCCGCGGTCCTGGCGTAACCGCGGCAGGACGTATAAATGTTAGGGACTAAAGTGCAATACACGGGATTTTAAGCCCTAAACCCTATATTAAACGAAGGAAGCCAGCCAAGAAAGGGGAGAATGATTTTTGGAAGTGAAAAACATCTGAAGGAAGGGCAAGAGGCAAGGAGGATCATTGGGCACCAATCTTTAATCTTCTTCTTTGTTCTTTTACCTTTGACTATGAATTTTTTTTGTGATTTTTGTTATTTTCATGAGTAGCTAACTTTTCTAATCTAATTTTGGTGAAACCCGTTGGGGATGAATTGGTTGTTATAAGTAATATAGATTTGAATTAGTTTAATCTCTATTTGTTCAACTATGTTTTGATTGTGGTTAATTGAAAGGATCCTCAATTAGCCGTTCCTATTTATTATGTATCTGCTTGAGAGAGAGTGCATATTTAGGTAGTTGTTTGAACACCATCACTCCCGGAGTATAGGCGAGAGTCATAACC